AAATAGTCCAGATGGAAAAGGGCTAGGGGAGGGGTCCTCCATCGCTGACCAACACCCCTGCGTGATTATTCACACCGCCAGGAAGCCATCAACTGGGCAAAGGTGGAAAAAAAAGTCACTTGACGATGCTCGTGAGAAAGCTGGTGCACTGCAAACAAGACAACTGAAATCCGCGCAAACACAACAGGAAAACGCCTCGAAAAGAGTATCAAAGCTCTTGAATACTAAAAGAAAAGAAGGCTAAGAAATTCGATAATATCGTACCTTGCTAAAGCTCCAGGTATGCTGTCGTCGAGGCGTCTTCTTACTCTCGTCGGCGCTGTTTGCCGGGATTACTCCGATACCCATGATGGATGGCTAGGCTGCTTGGAAACTGGGCTTTGGTGGTTCGCTGGGTGATTCGGGAATGCCTTCGTCCAGGTCGCTCTCCGGGCTGGTCAGGTCGGAAGAATACTATTCCAGTCTTTTTTCCCAGAATTGTTGCCGACCACGGGGGATGTCGGAGGGTTTCTAGAAGATCGGTACAGCGACTGCCGAGTAACCGCCGCACACCGCAAACGATGGGGGTTGAGACGATACGATCTTGACGGCGAAGAAGACGTGGCGCAAAAGAGGTAGGAAGAGGACCGCGAAGAAATCTGCAGAGGAGAAGAGAAGGAGAGGACTGGCCTCTGAAGCAGCAGCAGCAGCAGTAGCAAGGTCGGTATCGCTTGAAAGGAAGTCGGTGAGGTGTGAGTAAGTGTTGCCGAGGGGCCTGGATCGTGAAGTGTTGAACCAAGTGGCAGAATTCAGAGCGCCATCGCAGTGACCTCACTGAGGTGTCTTATCGATAAGGACTCCAGGCCTCGATAAGCCCTTGTCGCCACTCCGATAAGTCCCGACCCGAGCACCGGTTTCAGTCTCGTCCACTGTGGAACACCGCCTGCGCTGGAACTGCCGCTGTCTCTGACCTGAAATCACACTTCACCAGGCTGCCCCGGGCGCCGACGAGGAGGCCAGGATGCTAACCAAAACGATTACAAGCGAGCATTCAAAGAAAGTATGAGGCAAGTGGCATTCATTAGACTGAACCCTATCTCACCAGTACAATTACAACTCTGTGTAACCTACTATGTCTTTGGCCAACATGACCCCAAAACAACCTCAGCAAATTCATCCCCAATCTTGGTGAACAGCCTATATGAACTTGAGTAGTCTCAGTCCGAACCTCAAATGACCTGATGAAGTGTCCTCGAAACTACCAAACCGCTGCTTGAACTTCTACTTCTCCGGGAGCTGAGGAGTGGCACCGTAGGTTTCGCGACCGTAGAAGCGAACCTGACCAGCACCAACGTCAAAGTAGGCTTCGACATTGTGAAGGAAGACTGAACCCAGGATGTACGGACCCTTGCCACCGGTGGTAATACCGATCTGGCAGTAACCCGTGAGAGGGTCCACCAGTCCGTGGTAGATGAGATCCACGGGATTGATGAAGAAGCTCGCGCCTTCGATGATGACGGCTATCTTGGGAGCAATGGCATCGCAAGGGGCAAAATATCCGCCATACTGGAACAAGTAGATGGCGCTGGGGGAGAAAGACCTGGCAATAGCCTCAGCTGTGGGCGGAGGCACGTACATGAGCGTCGTGCCGGTGTCGACAATGTACAGGTACTTCTTGGTGTCGCTCGTGGATCCCCAACGCAAGCCATCAACGAGGATGGTGTAATATGAGTATTGCCAGCTACCGTCGGGACGCTGTGAGTTGATGCTAGTCTTCAAGATTGTAAGTCATACTGAGATGCCATCCCGTTTTAGCCAAAACTTACAATGATGAGATCGGTATAGGCCGTAGGGCCAGTGATTGGCAGACCAGTGCGGCCACCCCATCCAATTACGCCAGACGAATTGCGGACGAGAGAAACGCTGAAGGCATCTGAAGAGAGTCCTTGCTGAACCATGCTGGTGAAGAAGGGCGAGTATGGGACCTGGAAAGCAGGGCGATCCTCATTCATGTCGCCAGTGAAAGCACTAGTGATGGAGGGATAGGCGAGACCGAGAACACCGTTGGTGTAGTTGTTGCCCATCCAGTACGTCTTGTTGGCCAGGCCGACCTGCTGTTGTTTGACGACGATACCGGCCACCTCGATGTCGCTGTAACCCATGGGGCCAGATACTCGCTCGCCAGAACCGTAGCTCAAGGCGAAGTGGACATCCTCGACAGGGCCATATTTGAAGTCGTCAATCTTGTCCGGTCCAAAGCCGCAAGATTCAGGGGAATAGACAGCAGTTCCTGACAGGTTGGTACAGGTCAGATTGGAACTGGTGGCCCAGGTGTCGCTGCTGCCGGTGTCGAAGATCATGTTGATGAGCTTGCCGTCCCAGGTAACCTCGACAGCATATTGGGTACCCCAAGGAGACAAGGCTGTGATGTTCTGGTAGCTGGAAGAGAGATCTCGAGGTTGGGCAGCGCCCAAGGCCGTGGCGGCGTTATGGCCGGTGATTCTGCCATGGAATGGCTTCAGTTTCTGGGTGCGGCCAGAGACCTCATCAGGGGCAGCCTCGCGAAAGGCCTTGATGCGCTGGAAATTAACGCCTTTGAGAGGGCTCTTGATCTCGACACCAACACGGCGTCTATCCTTGGCCAAGACAACGTCGGCGGAAAGGAGACCAACTCCCAACAGAGAGGAGAGGATGTTGGCGACCTTCATGACGTCTTTGGGTCACGGAGAGAATGGATGAATGAAGGTGATTGAAAGGAATGATGGATGTAACAAGAGAAGGGACGAGACAGTCGAGCTACAGCTTGAGTCTCTTCTTGAAGAATGGACGAGGACGCTGCTCAAGTGTTGAGGAGAAGGAAAATTGAGAAGAGGTGGCTACGGTGAGGAAGATGAAGGGTTTTAGAAAAGGGGGACAGTCCTCGGACATGTGTTTGGGCTGGACGGTGACGACAGGAAGGCGCAGCGAATACGAAGGTGCTTTCCCTTCGGCTGGTCCCGTCTGCGTTACTTCCCTTTGGCTGAATTGTAACACTAGGAAAGCGTGTGTATGGCGGTGACTGCTAGAAGCTGGGAGGAGGTACGTAAGGTGGTTGCCATCGTAGATGACGGGAAGGGCAAGTACCGCTTGCCTTGAATCGTTTGCTCGGGATGCCACGTCCATCTTGGAAGGACCAGATCCACACGGAAACAGCGTACCTTCCTTTGATATCCTGGCCTCCCGTTGAGGAAGTTGCAGTTTGCCACTGACTCGGAAGGCGTTCGCGAGGTTCTCGTCCATATCATTGACACCTGGCTATGGAATCTCATAAACAACAACATCAAGAAGCTCATGGCTCATAGCCGAGACACGCAACGAGCCCCCAGTTCATACAGTCTCACTGCGCATAGGTAAGCTATTCGGTCCATTGATGTAGATCTCATCTAAATCTCATCTACGACTTGCTTTCCCTTACATATTGATACAAACGGGCCCGACGACCTCGTGTCGACCCATCTTTACGGATGTCGCATTGATTCGAGACAGAAGCTGATTCTTGCTCAATAATCTTCTTCCGGCTTGGATACTTTCCATTAAGCAAAGCCTAGCTCATGGTGATCGTGTTATTGTGAGGGGCATCCGCGATCCCCCTTAAAGCACATCTTGCTTATGGTCGGGCATAGGATTTGGGGCAATATGATTCATATATCCGTTTGAAAGAATGAGCAACTATTAAAGCCCAGCTAGGGATTCGAAACTCCGTCCCATTCAATTTGATTTAATTACACTAGGCGGATACCTGCAGCATTTGCCAGGTGTGCCATTCAGGTACCAGTATCACCAGACGTTACTCGGGAGTCGGCTAGCTCATTGAGCAAACGCAAAGAGTCTAAGACCGACACATGCTATCGGAAATCGGCTCGAGCAAACGTGACCGGGTCGAAACAGCATCTGTTGATCTCAGGTAGATAGCTTCTCGGGTTTAGAAAAGTCCTGCCTCGCCACTGCGCCATCAAGCCTCGGTAACACAAGATGGGTCCTATGTTTGTTCACGCTTGTCATTCGCGGCCAAGCCATATGCTCTCAACGTGCTGTCAACGTGTTGTGAAAGAAGATATATGAGTATACACCTGGGTCTCTATGCTCTCAGCCCTCAACCCCTGTCCGGCAGATCTGTTTGTTCCTCATGTCAAATGCGAGATGGCGCGCCATCCGCATATATCCTGCCCAACGTGCCACCATTGTCGTCATGCAGTATGCCCGGTCCACTGTCGTCGCCACCAATCGAAGTTCATTTCAACCGAGTCGACTGACACGAGACGCGACGTCCATCGAGGAGCCCCTGGAATTTGGGGCAATGCTGTTCACTACGGTTAATACGTAGGGTCCAACCTCAAAATCGTATTGAACAACCTCAATGATACATGGCAATGTCTGACGAGGACTCACAGCGGGCTCATGACATAATCACCAATGCGACGTGTCCCATCTTACAACATATGTTGCCAGAATAAAGTGCTGACAGCCCCGGTCTCAACTCCGGAGCTCAGGACCGATCGACGTACAAGAATCGGGGTCCATGTTCCGCCGGCGGGCCGCTGGACTGACTATGTTCGTAACACTCCGGTCTGACCAAAAGTGCCTCATTTTCCCATCATGAATTTGAAAATCATACAGAAGTGAAGCCAAGATCTCAACACGAATCCCTCAGGATTTGGTTGAGACATCCAGAGTCCCGTGCGGCAGGGATGGAAAGCCGAGGCACTTACCGGAAAGGGTAACCTAGCCAACTTTAACATGATGACGACAAGACCCGAGGATAGGGCTGAGAATGCACTGCCTAAAGTTCTTGAGGTGACCAGTCCATCCCATTGGAGCTCCGATCACCTTATATGTTAACCTCACCTCGTCTCCCTCCCTTATCTTTACCTTGAATGTTGACTGTAACCCTTCCCCAGGATTCTTCATCGGATAGTTGGTCGCCAAAAGCAACGGTCGCTGACGAAAGTTTCTCTCACACAACAACCCAATTCACACTCACCATGGCATCAAACCAGCCCACCGGTGCTGCTGGACCCCTGCCAGCCATGCAAGAGCTCTCACCAACGACGTTCCTCTACGACCCGCCCTCATCCGTTCCGGACCCGAACTCACCCAAGCTCGTCGCCATCTTCAGCTGGATGTCGGCCCAGGACGTCCACATCGCAAAGTACACATCGCGGTACATGGCAATGTACCCCTCCGCCAGCATCCTCCTCGTGAAATGCCCCTTCATCCACACCCTCTCCAACCGCATCTCCAAGCGGCAAATCAAGCCGGCGGTCCCCGTAATCCGCTCCCTAGCCGACTCCACCCCGCCGCCGGCTTCGTCCGAGACGGGGACGGGCCAGCGGGCCCCGCAGCTCCTCTTCCACGTTTTCTCCAACGGCGGCGCCACCAACCTCGCAAAGTTCCTGGAGCTCTACGCCGACGCAGACCGCGCCGGTCGTCTAGAGCTCCCGCCGCACGTGACGCTCTACGACTCCTGCCCGGGTGGATTCCACTGGATGCGGAGCTACCGCGCGCTCTCGGCCTCGATGCCGCGGATCCTGGCGCCGCTGGCCCACGTCTTCATCGGCTGGTTCTGGCTCTTCCACGTACCGCTCGGGCGAATCGGGTTCTTTGGCAAGATGTGGGCTGCGCTGCGGCAAAAGGCGCTGTTGGGCAGTGAGAGCCGGCGGGCGTATTTGTATAGCAAGGAGGATGAGATGATTTACTGGGGTGACGTGGAGAGGCATGCGGATGAGTCTGCCGAGGTCGGCTTCAAGGTCCGCAAGGAGAGGTTTGATGGGAGTCAGCATGTTGCGCATGCCAAGTTGGATTCATCGAGGTATTGGGGCCTTGTGAAGGATGTGTGGGACGAGGACTTGGTTAAGAAGAAGGTTGAGCCGCCGACGCCGACGTCGAAGTCTGCTGATGCCCCGTCAGAACCAACGCCCGAGAACGCTTCAGAAAATGCCGACAAGACTGCAGAACCTGTGAAGACAGCACTGGATTCACCGCGGACTGCGCCGGAGGCTCCAAAGGCTGCTCTGGAGCAAGAGACAACTAAAACGGCTCCTGAACCACCGAAACCAGCACCTCCGCCACCAGGGATTGCACCTGCGAGGCCGAAGCGGCAACCTACCCCGCCTCCAACCATCCAGTAAGCCGGCGATGTGTGTACTTCTGCTGGTTGAAGCACTTATCGCTTTTATAGATGATACCTTTTCAGACATTTGACATAGAATGACTATCCGCGTTGGAAACTGTCCTATTATTAGACCTAACAATCATAACCGGCATTTCAGTAAGGCTCCTGGCCGCTATCATGGTCCTGATGACATGTTGTCAGCTTAAGAACACATTTCGGTTCTAATTTTGGGTTAGTACTTGCCCAAGAGTTTGCTTCTTGAGGCGAGTATGCGGCCATGGAAGTGAGCCGCAAAGCCTCCTCCCTTGACTCGGTTGTGTCAAGTTAATCTCCTTCAGCGTCATTGAGGAAAGATTCTCTTGTCGCCAGGGTTCGGCTATTGGTCAAGCTCGTACATCGAGGCCCAAGGCAACCGCCTATGTCTCACTCAAGACAGCCAAGGCCTCTTACCCTTTATGCGTAAAGCTAGGGAAGGACGCCTCAGTGGCTTAGCTGTCACACTCAGCGATGAAAAACAGCAAAAGCCCTATTCGCCGCTCATCTGGCATACTGTCCTGATGAGTTAACTATCGGAAATTGACATCCACGAAATAAGCTCCTCAGCATTACGGATAAGGAGTTGATTATCCAACACACTGACACGAGCCCAAAGTCTGGACCGAGTCCTCTTGAAGCTGAACAGCCTTCAGCTGTAGCCCTTCGACACAATGGCGGAAGTTCTAGGGGTCGTCGTGAGCGCCTTGACAGTCGTCGACATGACGGTGAAACTCGGTTCTAGTGCAATCAAGCTCAAGAAGCTCTGGGATCAAGTACATGACACACCCAGTGAAATCGGTCAGCTCGTTGCACAGGTTGAACTGCTCAACGCCGTTCTTGCGGAGGCGGATGCCATGTCCGACCAGGTCTACAGTACCAATAATAACCCATCTGTCATCAGTCTCAATTATTGCCAGCATGCAGTAAATCACCTGGAAACCTTGGTGACGGACTTACAGCAGCAAATGACGATGGCAAATAAGCCGAGAAGAAGCATAGCGAGACTGAAGTTTACTCTGAAGAAAGACTTGATCCAGAACTGTCAGAATAAGCTGCAAGTAGCGCTACAAATGGTAGTCCTATCCCAGAACACTCGCATCCTGTAAGTAAACACTGAGTGAGACCTCACAGACCTAATGACTCAATCGCGTCACAGTGCTTCCCTCAGAGCTCCATCGCCGGAGCCATCGGCTTATACTCATGATATCTTGGGAGATACGAAAGACTCGGGCATGCCACCTTCCTCTGAAGTGCTTCTGAAACAGAGAAGAGAATCTTTTGGAAGGTTCTACGCACATTCTGTGCGACGAAGACGGGGAGTGATGGACGCACTCCCTTGGCGGCAAGCTTCTCTCTTTGGTACCTTTGCGCACCAGACGAGCCCGCACTCCATACTCTCTGGTGTTCAGGGTAGGTATTTCTTTTGCCCAAGTAACCTCTCGCAAGACAATAGACTCAAGGTATAGGCATGTCACTAACACCGGTCAGTCTACCGGGCACGCGTAAGACCACCGATGTGGATGTCGGAAAGGATATGGGATATCCAAACGTATCGAGCGTGTGCGGGATGGAAGTTCTCTTTAAGAACTTGGACTGTCCGCCCCTTTAGTGCTCCTGTATTTGGCTATGTCAAATCGGGGTCGTGGTCTCAAGTACTACAAGAATTTGAGGGGAACCGGGCGTCTGTGTTTGACCGTGACTCTGAGGGGTGGTCTTTAGTACATGTATGTGGGCCCCACATGCGACGAACCGCGCTTTAATGAAGAGAGTAAGAGCTAACATCGTGTAAGTATGCAATCTTCTTCGGCCATATCAGTGTCATCAAGAACCTGTTGAGTATGGGCCTTAGCCTTGACGACATATACTCTGAGACCTTGGGCAGTTCTTGGATCTTATTCGATGGTGCTTCAGAAGAGCAAGAGACCATGCTGGAACTGTTCCATATGTGGCTCTACATATGTGGGCTTGATCAAGACATGGAGGCATTCTTCGTCTCCGAAGGCGAACGCTATCAAACCAAGTTTAACGTCATCTCGAGCTTCGTTTGGAAGCTACCCGAAGCAAATCGGATCATGGCGACAAGAAGGAACATTGCATACTACAAACTCCCTCCTAAATCACGCTTCGCTTGCTTGGGATGGCAATCAATCGATCCTCAGGTCTTGCTTAATGACATACATCATGGCGAGGGCCTAAAACCTGCGGAATTCAGCGTGGTCTTTGATGGGCCAAAGGAAAGTTCTATGGAGAGCTTTGTCAACGCGTACGTCAACTTCCTGTTTGACACTGACAATGATCACTTGGAATATTGCCAACCTCTGGAGACACATGCACCAGCCCACCCTTGGCGGCATCTCGCGCAATGGGTTCTTAGGGGTGTGGCGCCAGAGAGGCTTAGTAGAAAAGCATGCCTCGATGGGTATTCCATCACAGCGACTACTCTTTTCGCCCTCTTCCTCCACGTGGAGGAGTGCTTGACGTTTTCGGGTCATCAAGGATGGGCTGCGAAGCTGCGAATGGCACAGTTACTGTCCTCATGGCTGGAAGACGCGGAACTGGCAGGTCTAGACCTAGGAGAATATGGCAGGCAAGAATCGGAGATCTTCATGGGCTGTGACCAGTTGCGTCTTCGAAGATGGTTCGAACCAATCGGTTGGGACGACCGCGAAGACGATTGCGAAGACGTAACCTCTCCGTCTGGGTTTCGGTTGCAGTCGTTTACTTACGGACCGCATCCTACAGATTGGGCACTGCTTTGGATTCTGGATGCTGAGGAGTACGCAGGAGAGTTCTGGGATAATATCGAGATCCCACCTTCAGTCATTCCAGGCGGTTGGGTTGAAGACGGAATATGATTCATTTTCTCGGTTCTCTAACATGGCTGTACTCCTTCTCTGACACACTGATCGAAGAGATTTGGCATCGAACGGCGTGACTAGAGAGAACTTGGGCGTTGCATTCTTTGAAGAATGTCCTTGTATGTGATACTTTAGCATGCAGATGCTTTCAGATTCGATTATGGGGAATTAGCTGCACGGCGGTCGTTTCTTTCATTTTCGAAGACATGTGGCTGTGCAGGTGCTTGAGTGCCGTTTACCCTTCCAGTCTCAGACAATTGCAGATGCATTGAACGCTAGCCATACATGCTACTCACCATCTTCCCGCTCCAGGTCGAGTTTCGATAGCAAGCTATATTTTCATTTCGATGTGAATAGGCTACCTAAATCATACCTCATCATTACCTTCGTCTCGTGGGTATGTGGATAAGGAGAAATTGAAATCCCAGTCATCACCTAGAAATGCGGGGTACAAGAGTTGCTCAATTTCTCCTAGCCCCTGACCCTGCGTCCCTACGCTGCTCACTTGCGGCTCATCGAGCCAGTCAGAGAGAAGCTCCTGTTGCGGATTTTCGATAGAAAGGTTGCCCGTCAAGAAATTATCTGTTTCCACAACATTCCCTGAGACGACAGGCAACTGTCCCATGTCATTACCTGTTGTCTGAGCCGTGTTCATCGAGGGTTCGTCGAAAGCGGGTAGCGAGATAGCTGAGGTCTCTTCTCGACGTAGCTTTCGAGTTTCCTCTTGCCTCATTTCGAAGTTGCGCCTCATGATGAGTTCCAGGTCATGAACAATATCTCGCAACCCTGCTATAAGCTCCGGCTCCACATTCGCGAACCTTCGCTCAACCTCAGCTTCGATGCGCTCTCGGAGGAGGATCATGATCTCGCGTCTGGCATATTCTTTTCAGGTCTCTTCTCGGTCAAGAGCTGAGACGTCGTGGTTATAGTCTGCAGAGTTTTGATTTAGCCTTGTCTACTTTGCATCCTTATCGGGCTATTACTCACAAGGCGAAGGTATTTCTTTTTCTCTTACGTCGAAGAGAATTCTGTATACTTCCTTCCACTTTTCTTCCTCTGTTTGCTTCGACCTAGCCTTGATCTTTAGGCGTCTCTTAGCGTCAGGCCCAAATTTGAATTCCCTCAATAAGTCTGATGCGTTGATGATCTTGCAAAGCTGGTTGATCGAATCGTCTTTGACTCTGAGATGCGAGTCCAATGCACTTTGATTATCGAACCATTTTCGACACCTGCTGCATTCCAAAGGCCTCTCATGACGACGAAAGAGATGCTCCCTGAAAGTCACCATTCATTAGTTAATAGTACACCCAAGCCGACGGCCATAGACTTACTTCAAGCGATGCACTGAAGGCCACCCAGGACCTGCACACGGTGGCTTCCTTGAGTACTCTAGAGGCTTCCATTGGAAGAACGGACATGCAAATAACATGCCTGACGTTCCATCTTGACGTTGCGGTACTTTGCGGGGTCTCTTGTTGCCGTCGTCCTGTTCGTCATCGCTTTCGTCGCATTCATCCTTGTCACCGGCCCGATCCTGACCTCCCTGTCTTCCAATTCCTTTCTTCCCGCCACAGAATTTCCGTCGTTTTCTGGGCTTTAGGCCCTGCTCACAGGTGTTAGACCCCTTTGACTGTGACGGAGCCTGAGTTTGATCATTCGCATCCTCCAGCTTGACGGTAGGCATGTTGCCCGTGATATCTTGGAGATGGCTATCCAAATCGTCAAGAAACGCATCCATGATACTCTGGACAATCCTGCGTTTTTCGTCTTCCAAAGCTCGCGTTTGCTGCTCATCCGCGGTCGAGCTGCTCGAACTAATCGATTCGTCGTCGTAGGAAACCGAGCATTCATCCGCATCCATCCGATGACCAGTATCAATGGGTGTTGGCCTGCTTGGGGTCCTCGATGGAGAAGTAATGCTGGCATCCGGCACTTTTGGGGTCTCCTTCGCATGATCTTCCTCGGAAACCTCGACCAATGCTTGTCCTGCGTACTCTGAAAGTGATGGAGGGTCTTCTTCCAGCTTCAATGACGGCCAGGAACCTTTGGCCTCGGTGGCATCAAATCCTCTCATGGACAACGAAGATGGGTGGGCCAATTTGCTTAGGACAGGCTCTTCGTATCTTGATTCATCATCCCCCTTCGCCAGCGCTGGCACCCAGGGAAAGACTGGAGGAAACCTTCTCAAGGATTCATTCTCCTTCTCGTCGCTGTACTGGCGGAAGTACGAGAAACTAGAGTTGTCTGCTTCGTTGTTCATCAAATCTATATCTCGAGAATAGCCAACACTTCTTGTCGATGCCGCATCAAGAAACGACGAGGTTTGGTAGTCGCTCGTCTCACGCCTCTCGAAACTTGGCTTGGAAGCCAGGGACTTTTGGGCAAAAAGTTCAGACGGAAGTACTTCAAGGCGTTCCAGGCATGAAGCTGGCTCGAAGGATCCAGCCCTTAAACATCCGAAGACCTCTGTGATCAGGTGCTGACGACCGAGAAGCTTCTCGCAGAGCGTGAACACTTCATCAATGAAGTAATTCCCGAAAGTTTTGTTACCGTCACAGTCGATCAGCGTGGTGTTCTTCCAGATGATGAAGAGCGTGCCCAACAGCTGAGGATGTTCGTCCACGATTAGTTCATCAACAGCTCCCAACTGTGTCTTGAATGACAGAGGTACCACAGCGCTGTGATTGACACGGACGGAGTTGATGGCACAGTCGGTATCAGTGGCCCATTTGAACAGTCGGCGGCCACGGCTGATATGGTCGGCGAGATCCACAAACACAGATCCCGACCTCAACGATTCATTGATGTATTGAACCATAAGTCGGGTGAGCTCGTCGTAGTCAGATGTGGCTACAGCGCTTGGGTCGCCCGGGATCTGAGGCAACTGATCTGTTGCAAAATGCACTTTGCTTGGCTCACGATTGTACTGGGTACCAGCTAGACGATTGAAAGTATCACCGGCCACCCGGTTGGCAACACTCTGTCGTTTCGCAATAGGGAGAGGCACGCCACGGCGGCGACAACGACTGGTCACTAGCACCCCATTAGTCTGCAGCTGTATAGTCAAGGCAATAGTTGATCGGGGCTTCAACTATACCATTGCTCTCGTCACTCGAGTCAAGGTCCGCGATATCCTTTACATCTCTCTCCAGGCTGCTTTTTGGGTTATGCTTATTACCATAGGTAGGAGGGCCGCTATACTTGTGGCAACGCCACAGGCTCAGTCTGTAAACTAGCTGCCTCTTGCTTCACCGTTCATAAGTTAGCGCATATATTTCTCAGAGACTGTGGGAAGCTCACGTCACGACAAAGTCGTGTTTATCTTTCAGCGTGATGATGACTTGCTCGAGAGTTTGCTCTTTGTAAAGGTCTATAATGTACCCTTTCATCCTTTGCCACTTGTCAAAAGACTGCTGAATTCTCATTGGTCTTGATGAATTCATCGTAAAGAAGATTGGAATAACGTTTCAAAATTTCTCTCATAATGCGTCTAGGGGCGTCAAAAAAGGATGATTGGTGCGATATCATAGAGAAGCAGTGGCAGGGAGGTGGAGTGGAACCAACCTGCCTTTATGGCCCTGGGAACGCCAAAAGTTCTCGAGTGCGCAGCTGCGCAAATAGTTCCTTGCCTGCGTGCGAGAACGAGCAAGATGCTGACAAGTCTGCCAGCCTGCCAGCCTGCTTCAACAGCTGAAAGCAGGGGGCTGCGTCCAACGCATGTCTATGGTTCTCCTGAAGAGACTACTCAAAAACTGCCATGATTGGTGAAGTAATCCTTGGCCTTTTGCCTGATCCGAGACCAATCACTGGGGCCGAGTCGTAACTGATCATAGATTAGGGACACCGTTTGAGCCGTGGCCAGGCTAGAATCTCTCTTGTTACCACGTTCACACGTCGATACTCTTCGTTTCCACCTTTTAAGCAATCAGCGATTGACACGAAAACGCACTTGGAGAATGTATGGTCCGATACAGGCGAATGCGAAGATGACCTTATTCAACTCTCAGGCGGCCTCAAGTTGGACGAGTACACGGGGTGGTCGTCAGTCAAAAATAGAGGGAGCGGCTGACGAAACCAGTCCTGACGACCCGTCTAATAGAAAGACGCAGCTGCAGATGGAAATTGGCAAAGCTGCATCGCGTCTCTTGACCGTTAACGGAATAACAAGCTTACATGAAGACCATGAAATCTTGACTTAGCAAACAGCAGCAAAAGGCGAGACTTCGCTCGTGTTCTCAGATATCAGAGTGATATGTGCCGGGTTCCTAGACTTCATCCAGCCATGATAAAGATAGCTTCAAGAAGGCCCAATTTTGAGTTAAACCTAATTCGGGAGATGGAAACTGTCTGTCGTATTCTACCTTTTATCGTCCACAGCTTTGGGAAACATCTGCTTTGGCAGGTTAGCAAACAATACTTCCCTTAGAAATACAAGCCAGCATCTTGACGGTAAAACGACGAACACTGGATGAAGACTTTATGTTATACAAACAACTATGCTTTTCAATTGGTTAAAATTATCCTCTCGCAAAGAAGAGGGCCACCGTGACCTCTCGATGCCCGCGACGGAGCATGCTAGATGTGTCGTACATCACCCGCATGCCAAGAGGCGCGGATCCCCTCGCTAGGAGCCCCTCCCGATCGCCACGCCACTAACGTAGGTAAAGGTAGACTAGGGTATCTCTCCCTTCCCTCAGGAATGCAGCGGAGAGTCCACCGCAGGCCTGCCACGCACACCTCTGACCTTGAAGCCCAGTGTGCCCGCCCAAAAATAACATTATTGCCTGCCCTTTTGTCCTGATCGTCGTCGTATGCGTCATGTGCCTGTGATGTTGCTGATGTGGTTCCAATCGATCGATGCCAATGCCAATACCACATGTGCGCAACATCATCGCGTCCGGTGGTATCCCGAGTCCTGAAGCCCCCAATGCCATTATGTGTGTATTCCTTGTCGAACACCAAACGCCTCGCCAGGAGAGTAGAGAGAGGGGAAAAGGAAGAGACGGATAAACATCCTCCCCAAAGTTCGAACCGTGTCATAACTCCATCATTATCGCAAGCTTCATTGAGCTTTTCACGTCCTCGCCTTCTTCTTCTTCCTTCCCTCCCCTTCGTCCCGGCCCCTCTTGCTCGAGCCGGGTTGTGGTATTGACGCCGACGATGACGATCCTGCTGTGTACGCTGCTGATGACGGGTGTTGGTATTGCTGATACTGCTGATACTGATGATGATACTGCTGAAAATCCTGCTCACCAAAGTCCATACCGGCAACGCCTTCGTCCTCGCCGGCGCAGGCGTCGCATTCCTGGTCAAAGGCGTGTGTCTCGACGTCGACGCCACGCCGACACGAGCCGAACTTGTCGGCGTTCTTGGCCTCGAGGCACGAGAGCTGCTGGGAGAGGTCGGCCCAGGTGAGGGATTCGTTGCAGCGGGTGCAGGTGCCCGCGAAGAGCACGAGGCGGCACATTGTGTGTGTATGTGTTTCTTTTGCGTGTCTCTTGAGGCGGGAGGTGTGATTGAGGCGTTATTTGGACTAGGTACGGGGTCGAGAGGTGAAGAGGTGGCAGTGTGGTTTTTCGAGCTCCCCCCAGCCCCGGAGTGATCCCTGGGCGAACGAGTTTGTTTCGCGAGTGTTCAATTAAGTAGGTAGGACAAGGAGGAGAGACAAAGAGAGATGTATGCTTGTTCATCGACCGTTTGGAAGTTGAATCCGCAATGCCCTTTCGAGGGGGTAAACAAGGTCTTTCGAGGGTAAGAGAATAAGAATTAGTCGGACACGGTTCGAGGAGAAGGAAAGAATGTTGAACGGCAGAAGAAGGATGAACTAAAATCAATCGTCGACGGATGGGCAGCCACAAGCTTTCAAAGGATCGACACGGGGGGGCCCTAGCACATCTCGATAGAAAAACGCGACATGGAGCTTGACGGGTTATGTTGACACACTGACAGGTACGGATACACCAGGACAGAATCATAGAGGGGGGGTAGGGGTGTGTGAGAGAGGGGTGTGAGGGGCCGACGGGTAGAAGTCTGACTGTCTGAGAGACAGAGAGAATGAGAGACAGGGAATCAGAGGAGGAAGCGAGAAGAGCTCATGCAGCCCAAGCCCTCTCTCGGAAGTGAACTTAGGAAGAAGAAACGAGGTTCAAGGAGACGAACGACGAAGAGAGTGAAAAAAGCAACAATGATAGATGAGCAGGAAGCGCCCTCTCTCTCTCTGAGACTCTGCTGCCACTCTGCCACCCACCATGCAGCTCGCCAACAGCCAACCGTCTTGCAGTAGACTATATGCAGGATGCGGCTTAGCCTCGCCCTTGCGCCGCCGCCCAGCTGCACATCAAGGCGCGAGACGAGAAAGAAAATGACAAGCGAGCTGCATTTGCTGTTGGCTGTTCGATGTGCTGCTTGTCTCTGTCATATCTGTTCTGTCTATGCCATGCCATGCCATGTCCATGTCCATGCCCCTCTCCCCGTCCATCCGTGTATGTGAGAGAGTGCTCCAATTCTTTTGCACACCCACCCCAGCACATCCACTCGCGGCCCGCGGCACTCTGCCGGGGAACACAGACAGGCCTTCCCGTCGTGAGGAACGATGTCCTGTGGAGTTGATGTATGTATGTCAGAAAAAAGGCCTTTGGCGGCCACGCTTCATAGGATCACGAAATGGAGGGGTGGGACGGGAACGGGGGTCAGAGCGAGGCGAGAAGGAAGAGGGCACCTTGCCCCGAGACGTTTCTTGCAGTGACATTCCAGGCACCCAAATTCTGTCATTGTGTGTAACTTTTCTTCTCTGTGGAGATGAGGTGATTTGAACGGAAATGGCTTTTTCTTGATGTTTCCAACGGCGCTGAGACACTGTGCCGAGCCTTTGCCTTTCGCCTATGCGTACGTAGCACGACTTTCGCCAACTACATACACAACTCGTACGGCAGATCCAAGAGAAGAGAAGAGTACGGACATCTTCCACCATTGACACTTCAGAGTCGAAGATTGAGAGTCAGAAAGAGATGTGCGGGAGGCACGGGAGACACGCGGCGCAAAAACAAGCTTTGAGATGGGATTGTCTTAGGGCCGGGCGAGAGAAGCAGAGCATGGATCGCGAAGCGAGCAATGCTACATGCCCCTTTTAGGATAGCTCCGGGATCAAGCTCCCTTGCAAACGGCAGACCTCAAGTTGTCCCCTCCCGAGTCCCGCATTCCTCTGTCTGTGTCTCTGAGTGTCTCTCTCGAGGATCAACAGTCATGTGTCAGTCTACTCTCTCTCGAGGGGACCAAACCCCTCGATCGTCTGTCTTCATGGTCCAATATAGCTATCGCGATGGTTTCGAAATGCTGTTACATTTAACACAGCCTCATGCCACAGTGCTACCTGAAATGCCCCCCCATATTCTCCCACTCTTCCCCCCTCATGACCCCCCCAGAAGTCATCCTGCATTGCAACCTTGGATCGGCACATGCAAGGCCAGATAAGGCAGACGGTTCGAAGGGAACACACAGTCCGACAATCCGCCTTCCGTAGAACAACACGCGGGCACGGGGGGCATGGACATCCGCACGCCTTTCCTGCTCAAAGAGCCCGTTTTCCCTCCTCCGCTCGCTGGCTCGAACGGCCTAGACCCTTGATCTATTCTGAATCAACGAGCGCTGTTCACCGTCCGTTAACAAACTTTCCTAAAACGTTGACTCGGGTACACCAACCTGAGGACCTCGTGCTCGTGCGCCTCTTCCTTTCTTTCCTATCCCGCTGTTTACGGAGAAGTTAGAGTGGTCCTTTCGGTTTAGGCCGCCGCCCATCCGTCACTGAGCGCCTGCTACGGCCGGTGGGATGACAACATCCGAACGGAACAGTAAAGTGACACCACACTGTAAATCTTTACCTACCGACGGATACCGGTACATCTTTCAAAGCCCATGAACGAATCGGCTTCTGACAGACAGGAGGATTCGGGGACTCGACCAATGCGGGGGGGAAGGGAGGAACGCAGTCTCTTGCGCATCCCTCGTCCTCCCCCTGCACGGCATGTCAGTTCATCACGTCTCTCTGTTCCCACACCAACCTTAACCTTACTTGCACCTCTCGCTCTCGCTAATTAATATCAGTCAGACATTGACAGGTAGGTGACGCATGTAAGAAAGGGCGGTTGTGAGTTTAGGTGTACGTACGGGCGACCGCTCATGCATACACGTCCCTGTCCGACAAAATGTCTCGCATGGGATTTGCATCGAAGCACAACTAAAATTTTGCCCGTCTTGCCCGTGATGAAAGAGAGCCAAAGGTTTTGTCAGATCGTCTGGCAGTTTCTTGGCGTGGTGTCGGAGATATTTCCCACCGCGCAGAACTCTCGACTCGCTCGTCCTTCCGCACGCGTCGACTGCGCAGGTCGCAAGCATCCCAGTTTTAATCTCCAGATGAACCGTTTGAAAAGCTTACACACCAGCACCTAAACCGAACCCTATCGTCAGTAAGTATGAGAAATGAGAGATGAGGCAGATCATAAGGGGACAGAGCACACGGCGCAGCACAGACCTGAAGCTCGCAAAGACATTTCACATGCATCAAGACAAGCAGACAGGTGAGGGTACGAGAGAGATAAACCTCACGTACATCAACCATGCACATGCAACCGCACAGGCGAGAGATCTCTACACTTTCTCTTACCTTATTTTTTACACTTGCTCATCGCCCAAAACACCTGCGAGATGGAAATCAAAACTTCAGTCCATATACTGCAATAGTCAACATGCAGCAAGATTGCTCAAAAGCAAATCTCAAGCCTGATGTTTCCCGCAGTCCGCATCAGGGCCGATAAGCGAGAGAAAAAACCATGTCTGTTCGATGACACCACGATTTCGAAGGACCCCTTTTCTCTCTCTGCTCTTACACATCTGTCTCTGTTCTGAGGCTCTCTCCCACGCAAAGTGTCAGTGCCATCAAACGGCGACGATCAATCAAAGTCTGCTGCCTGCCACGCCACGCCACGGAGACTACCACACTCGCTCGCGGCTCAGTCCCTCCCAGGCTCCTACAGATAATGATGGGCATGCCAGAAGCTCTGCCGCGAATATCGGCCCTGGTCTAGGCCACGGCTAAACATGGCCATACATCGTCACTGGCCACCGGTCCACCCCGAATGTAGTGTTACAACGCCGGTGTACATCCTTATTCCTTACGTGAGCGTCACATCAGCCTGGATCATTTTTGGCAATGGCTGATTATGACCATTCTTCACCTTTCCCTGTTCTCTTCTCTCCTGCTGATCCAGGCCAAGAGGTGGGCAGAGAAGATGCATATCATGTACGACACTAGAGGTAGAGAGGGCGAAAGAATTTCATGAAACGAAGATTCCACGATCGTGGGAGTCCATTCTCACACACCACTTACAGTCTCACAATCGCCCTTCAAAGCCATCTGCTTTCCAATGAGTCCATCAAACTCGCTGGACAGCACATCGAAGGATCATCACTTCATACTCCTAATCTCATCCGGACCACTCAAACACTTGATTCGATCCGATTCCCAATCACATCTTCCCATCTCCATCCAAACACCCCCAGCGCCATGTAACGTTTGAAGAGTCCAAATCATTCACTCCATCTATCATGTGAAAATGAGTACAACTCCCTCACTCACTCGCACCTGAATGATCTGGGCCTGCCTCACCTTACCTACTATGAAATAAAGTTCTCATCAATGCCCCTATCTACATCGTCACGTCTCGGGAGGCACAGCTTCCTACACATCCGGGGCGACCACAGCGTCATTCCCGCACGTGGCACCACAGACGTTGCTTCTCTAGCACTTACTTTCAAACTTGTATGTTGGGCAGTACTCAACACTTGCGTTCACTCTGTTTTGACGACAGTGTCCTGCTAAAGAGACGTTTCCAGATTGCGCGCGCATTTGCAATGAGTGACCAAGCAGGTTTGATTATTGTCTGGTCGCCAAAGATAACAAAGCTGAAGCGTGAAATAAATAATCTCTTACAAACACGACTGGAAGGGATGGCATGTGATTGATAAGAAAGTCATTTGCTGGGGGGCTCACACATCACATGGGACTGAGGTCAGGAGAATTCTTGAGACTCGGAATTAACTATTATACAGAGCGCGCTTTTTGTTTTTGTTTTCCCCTCCTTTGCCTGTTTGCGTCCCTAGTTGCGCTTCATCCACCGGAAAGAAAAAGAATTGGGAATCAATTTTGCATGTCGCATGAAAAGATGCCGGTCGGGCATTGTACCCACGTAGACTGAAAAGGGAGAATGGACTATACGATAGAACCCTTGGAAGCGAGCTTTACTCGGGAAAAAGTTGACCGCTCATCCACGGAAAGATTCAGTCCGAAACCATGCAGATGAGGCGGAGGCGGATGCCATCGCGGAAGGCAGAGTACGCCCTCAGGCGAGCCGCACCCAAGCAGTGCCCTGCAGCTGCATCATAACGGCAGGCAAGTGTCTCAAAAATTCATCATGGCCACTCTTGCAAATGTTCCACGAGGCAGAAGGTGCCAGAGGTGTCAAGTCCAGGAATGCTCGATAGACCCAGCAAAAAGGGATCCTTGCCGTCACATAGGCGTCAAGAGCGTGCATCATGGAGAATGGGGAGTAAATCCATGTCGCAGAGCAGCATTGAGCACCATGTCCATGTCAAGAGTCGAATCCAGTTCATGACAGTCAAGGATCATGTACAAGCGAGAACGTGCCATCATCATCGTCAAATGCCGGGTTCAGTGCATCGAGATATCAGCGAAGCGCGAAGCCAGAGGCAGCTTGCCTGGCTCGTCCGTGTGTGGTCCTCTCCCCCAATTCGTGATTGTGTCCAAAGAAAACAAGGTGGGCGCTGTGCTGTTGCAAGTCCAGCGGAGTAAGAAGGTATCAGTCGTCGAATAGTTCGTAAATGCGCACTGCCATGAGCCTCCATAGTCAACGTGCATGTGCGGTGCTTCAGTATACGTAATGCGAAAAGAGGCATCAAGTCGAGGTCCAAGGCAAGTGATCAATCACATCACACAAGCATGTCCCCTACCGGAAAGGGTGCATGCAAAAACCTCTATGAGGCTCCAGGAGGCGCTGCACCGGGCTGACCGGCCGCACCGCCACCTTGTTGTTGCTGATAAACGAGGGACTGGTACCAGAGCGCGAGGTAGTTCTGGTATCCACCATCTGCAGAATGTCAGTATACGATACTACTTGCTCGCTGTGTCATGCAGACTTACATTGCGCATACGGGTCGGCTCCGTCGGCTCCAGCGGGAGCTTGAGCAGCTGGCGGGTTAGCAGATCCTGATGCTGATGGGTTAGATCCCTGTTGAGAGTAGCTTCTGTCATAGTCTTGATTTTGACGACCGCGACCGCCGCCACCGCCTCCAGAGTTCTTCTGGCGCTGTTGCCATGTTAGTTACAGCTGCATGCATGGTGGAATCGAGGCCTGTCACTTACCACGGCGTCGACCTTCTCTTCAATCGCTTGCTTGGCTCTGGCGATACTATCGCGCGAGCCGATGAGGGCAATCTCTCGCTGAACCTCGCCTGGACCGGAGGACTGGGCAACATTGATCTTGCAACCAGTGCCGTTCTGCATATCACGGATGGTCTCGCCTCCCTTGCCAATAATCATGCCCACAGCCTCGGATGGGACGTAGATGGCGTCGTTGATCTTGTCACCGCTGCCGCCGCCCGCTCCACCCATGGGCCCGGAGTCTCTCTGATGACCACCACCATCGTGTCTCTGCGGCTTCTTGGCGGGGGCTGCAGGTTGACCCTCGTTTCTGCTGTCGCTATCCACAATCTCCATGATCAGATCCTTAGCTTGTGCAGCTGATTCACGAGAGCCGATGAGGTTGACCGGTCGAAGTCCATTGACACTCTTGGATTCACCAACAATATTGATGTGGCAGCCGGACCGCTCCTGCAAATCGCGAATGGTCTCGCCACCGCGACCGATGATTAGGCCCACGGTTCTATCGGGAACCATAATCTGCATGCAGTCCTCGCCTTCGCGAAGAGCTGCAGCTCCAGCTCCGGCAGCGGCAGCGGCGCCTGCACCAGGTGGTCCGCCGCGGTGGTCGCGGGGTGGAGGCCCCTTGGGGTTCGCAGCGCCGCGGTTGATGGCGCCCATGCCGCTATCGTCGATAATGCGGTTGATGGCCTCCTTGACTTCACTGCGTTGTGCCCTGGGACCACTGATCTTGCACTGGCGGAAAGGGCCGTTGTCGCTGGAGGGAAGGAACTGCACCCGACAGTTGGACTCTGACTCGATGCGACGAAGGTTCTCGCCTTGTCTACCGATAATGAGACCAACAAGGCTCGACTCGATCTGGATTGTCTCGGCGTTGTCGTCACCGCCGCCACTTCCTCTTAGTGGAGATCGCTCTCTGCCGTTGGAGTTGCGAGGAGAGAAAGTGCGACCACGCGGGCCGGGGCTGTAAGATCGCTCGCGGTGACCATAGTCTCGTGGAGCAGGGCGGTCATCCCGGCGCTCGTCTCTGTAGGGGTTAAAGTTATCGCGGAACTGGTCGCGACGGTTGGAAGGAGAGCGTGACCGCGAGGATCGGCCGTAGGCTCGAGGATCCTGGCCGCGGGGAGCTTCGTTGGAGTAGACGAGGGGTCGGTCGTAAGATGTCACGCCCTTCTCAGCAGCAAAGGCCTTGGCTTGCGCAATGGCATCGGCGATGCTGACTGTGCCAGAGTTGACGGGTCGGATCGAGCTAAGATCCAGACTGCCGCTGGATGAAGGTTGGGGCAGTCCCGGGTAGCCACCGCCGCCGCCATACGGAGGCGCGTTCTGCTGGGGCATCGGGGGGTAGGAAGGAGGCGGCTGGCCGCCGGGAGGAGGAGGATAGCTAGGCGGCATGCCGGGCTGTCCTTGAGTCGGCGTCGAAGACGTGCCTCTTTGTGCTGCGCCTGGATGAAGGAATACAATCAGTCTGTGTTCGAGGGTGCAGAAACAGATTCGTGTCGTGTCTCGGGTACCTACCTAGGGCAGCGAGGATGGAGGAGATGTCGCGAGGTGGTTCGGCCATTGTGGCTGTCGCGTATGAAGAGTTCAGGGCGCGATCAAAGGTCAGATTGTGACTTGTCAAAGGAGGAGAAAATGTGATTGATCGTGTCGGAGGGCAGAAGACTTTTTGCGCGCAAGTGGAATTTTCAGCGCGGCGCAGAAATGAGTCGGATTGCTTCCGAGAGTGGGTTTGATCAGGTGACAAGGATGTGTGCCAATGCCAGCAATCACAAAATGAGGTCGCAAATCGGTTTATGGACAATCACGGCCTTGACTAGGTTTTGTCGCGAAAGATTCTCAAGTGGTGTCAGCTTGTCAAGATGTGCTAGGGCAAGCCGTGGTGGCACCGGTAGGAGATGTGATGGCGAGGTTTGGAGTTTGGCGAGACCGCCTGCCGAAAACAGATTGCTCCTTGCTGCGCAGCGTGGGTTGAGCTGTGAATGTGATGCGCAAGGTCGGACAGGGGCAGGAGGCTGGAAAGTGGCACGGATCCTGTGAAAAATGGGTGTGTCGGACTTTCGTTCTTCCCGTGGTTGACTGGAAGGCACGTCGGCAGGTCTAAGTCGGGTCTGGGCCCATCAGATAGCCTGCGCACGTGATAAGGTCATGGAAGCTTGGACTTGGGTCCGAAATTGAGGCACAGGCAAGCACTGCAGGTCAAGCCACTCTTCACAGTTCTCCAAGGAAGGTATGTCGTCACTGTCGACACCTTGGAAGCCATGGGTGACTACGTATCTGAGTGACGTGCAATTTTACTAGCCAACAAGACGGTGGGTGCTAGGATGACTTAGACAGGGGAGTCTCATACGGAGCGTTTTCAGGTGAGTTTGCAACAATGCAGACTGGAGTGACTTGCTCAAGGCGCAGCTGAAGCAAGTCATGTCAATGCAATGCGAGACACTTGGGCGAAGCTGACTGACTTGCTACTTGGATGGCCCCAGAGATGCAGCAATCATCAAATGTGATGTATGCGTAGTTCACTGGTAGACTGCAACGATGCCTACCTTACAACGAACGCAGGTAATGTCATAGCAGACTGAGCGAGGAACGCCCACGATATCTTATATACGGAACTGCCCATGAATGGATATCACACTTGGATGGACAGATGCTCACTTGTTCTTGAAGTTATGGGCCAAATATCGCAAGCGCCGACCTCATGGCTGGCAGCGATGAGTTCTGTAGCGAAGCGCCCAGCGGCGCAGAGCGCGGGCCACCGACGGCCAATCAATCTTTGCCAGCGTCAAGACTTGAGACGACCCCACAGAAAGAAGGAAGGAAGGAGCGACGCGAGCGTGGGAGCTTGGGTGCACAGGGCAAGTGCGAACTTCTTGTTTAGTGGGGCCACTGCCAATTGCCGCAACATTCCAGGTTCCATGACTTCCCTTGATGGTGCCTGAATGATCTTGCGAGGGAGGAGCAATGGAACAGAAATGCAACTTGGAAGGCGACCGATCTCAATGACCAATCTCACCCTCACCATCTCCCGGCTGCGCCTGCGCCTCTCATCGGCAAGAGGAGGCCAACGTCGGGAAAGTCAGGAAAGAAGCAGTGGAGGCCATTCTACGTTGCGTTCCTTTCCTTGCGTGCTTGACTTCTTGCCTTCCAACTCTAGCACTTATCTGTGCCTGAAGTGAATGACCGGCCAATGCCATTGAACGAATGTTCCTGGGATGCCACGATTTGTGGGATTTGGACAAGCTTTTCCCACTGTCTGACCAAGATCAGCCTCCAAAAGACCGTTCCTGTCGTAAACCGGTTTTTAGCATTCCGTGGTGGTCGGTGGCAAAGGCCTTGGCATCGATCATTGCTTGTTGCTGAGCAAGGACCCCAACGACACCATGGAGCGCAGCCAGGACGGGACGAGCAGCCAGTCACGAATCACAACACCAAGAAACTCATCTAGGGTCCATATCCACTCTTTTACCATTATCCTGCCCAATTCCCGGCCATTCTTGCCATCTGCTTACAAGGATTAGACGTTAGCGGCGAGAACCGAATTGCCCTTTTCCCATAACGATTGGACAAAATGTTTGGCATTGCCTTCAGGGATCCCCTGCTGGCGCCAGCCATCCGCCATCTCTTTTCGTTCGCTGGCTGACGATCTTTGCTCTGTTCCTGCTTCGCTCGCTGCGGTCCCTCACATCCTCTCCCCGGTCACAATGACCCTTCGTGCAGTTTCCGAGAGAAAACCACACAAACCTCGCGACATCCCCGGATGCCTCCAGCAAATCCAGAATCGTCCAGCCCAGCCTAACCAGGCCAACTCACCGTTTCTCCGTCCGCAACGGCAGTCCTCCTCCGCCGGGCACAGCCACCGGCAACACCACCTAACCTGGTCTGCTGGCGTGACTCGCGACGGGGATGCCACTGGAGCGGCGCCGTTCACCTCGCGCCAGAACGGTACCTTATCCTTACGAGGTGGCACGGGTGGGAGACTCTCCGCAATAATCCCTCCGTCTTGCCAATGACGTCGCAGCGCATTCTTGTCGTGAGCTTTCTGGATCAATCCGAGCCTATGAGCGAGACCAGGTTGTGTTAAAATGCCTTCTATCTTCTGCGACACCCCCGGAAAGGCGACTTTTGGAAAGATGGGCACCATTCAACCGTTGCTCCGTGGTGTCCCCTTGTTCAGTGACTCAAATCTCGACTTGTATATCACTCTTGAGTTCGCCCCCGTTCATGAAGCCACCAACTGTTGGCCTGACTTGAGTAGGGCTATAGCTCTTGTGATACCGCAACCGAATCTCACTCAGCAAGTTTCAAGCAAGAGTCTCATCGTTCGATAAGACCTCATTGTAGGAGCAACAAAAGTCTGCCTCACAACTCCTCACTCTCGCCAAGCAATCTCATACCCAGCTCTCAGCTCTCACCTCACACCCAACCCTGGCCTCGAGAAGACGGATCGAGTCTATCGTAACAGGGCGCAACATCATCTGATCTAAGTACGGGCAACACGACATTAAATCTCAAGAGCCCCATTTCGGCCTCCGAAAATATCGCTTTGCCTTAGCAGCGTTTGGGCAGCCGCTCATCGTGACCCCGGACGACAGATTTGGTTGGCTGAGAGCGGCCGTTGAGCGCGCTTAGAAAACGAGCCTCACCCAAATCCCCATATCCACCCTCACCGGGTGTCGCCAAACGAAACAAAGATTTGGGCCAAGTCGAGGTAATTTCCTTTCAAGGCCACGGCCAAAGGCCCCATTGCTGGCTTTCTTTGGCATTGTGGTGTGAATCAGGTAAGCCGCCTTTATTTTCTTTTCTCGACTTTGTTCCTATTGTTGCGCGCCTATTGCTGGGTGATCCTGTGGACCTGGCCGTGTTAGTCGGCTTCCTTCTTATTATGCGTACTGCCCAGTCATTCCCATTCCCTCTTGTCTCTGTCGTCCTTCCAAGTCATCACCGTCCTGTGTATTCATATTCTCTCCCGAAAAAAGTACCCCACAATGAATGAATAGAAGCTTGTTCAGAAATCAGTGCTTGACGAGTTTCCTTTGTCGCTCTCTTTCCTTCCTCACTTTTTCCCCCTTTCCCCCTTCGTGTCGAGAGATTCACCTAATTTCATCACCAAACTCCACCAATTAATTCCTCCTCGACGTCGACTGCCGTTCTATTCGCTTCATTTTCCACAGTCGGCCCTTTTCTTCTTATTTTATTATTCATTTTTCTCTGCTGGCTCAGAAATACTCGCATCGGCTTCTTACATTCTTCGATAGAATCAACATGTTTTCCTCACGGAATCGCAAGGAGGAGGCGGCCTACCCAGCCGTCCCCGACTCTCTCAGGTCGGACTCGCTCGAGATGGCGGAAATTAGAAAGACGCAACAAGCGCGAGCCGACACTTCTCCCACCATCACACCATACCTCAGTCTCCCAGCTAGACTCTCTCAGATCTGGCTAAACCGCTGGACGATACTACTACTACTCGTCCTCCTCAGAGTCATTTTGCTCATCGCCAGTCTTAACGACAATGTCGACGACGCGAATCAAAAAGCACTCTCTGCTTGCACCAAGGTCGAAGATATTGGCAGCGCCATGGCCTCAATGCCTCACTACCTTTCTGTCGGCGTCAACGAGCTGTCAGCCAAGGGTATCGAGAAGACCCTTGACGGTATGGTCGCCGCCCTGGGTCTGATCCTCACTGGAGTTCAGAACCTTATCATCTTCGTCATCAACATGATGACCTCGATGTACACCTGCCTCATCACTGCCTTCATCCACGGCGGCCTTGATGTTGCCTCCGACGTTACCAAGAAGGTCACCGACGCCATGAACAAGGTGGTTGGCGATATCAGCAATACAATTGATTCCAAGGCTAAGAGTCTCTCGGACGGCATCAACAAGGCCGTGGACGCAATTGAAAACTCCGTCCTCGGTAGCGTTCTGCCCGACTTCCCCAAGGTCGACTTCTCGGGGCCTGTCAACGACCTGCGCGACATCAAGATCGACTCCAGCGGCTTCGTCAGCGACATCAATAAGCTCAACGATGACCTGCCTACCTTTGAGGAGGTTCAGAACTTGACGGCTCAGGCTATCTCGTTCCCTTTCAACCTGCTCAAGCAGACTGTCAATGACGCCTACAAGGGCTACAAGTTCGATCGATCAGTCTTTCCTGTCGCCCAGAAGCAGGCGCTGCAGTTCTGCTCGACCAACAACAACATTTCCGACTTCTTCAACAACCTGCGAGATATGATCCAGAAGGCTCGCATCATCTTCATTGTCGTTCTCTCTATCTTGGCTGTGCTGGTTATCGCACCCATGGCTTGGCTGGAGATCAGGCGCTGGAGACGCGAGCGAAAGCACGCTCAGATCATGGCCAGCAACCAGTACGACTCGATGGATGTGGTCTACATTGCTTCCCGCCCAATGACTGCTACCTGGGGTATTAAGATTGCTTCCAAGTTCAAGGGACGCCGTCAGATCTTGGTCCGCTGGGCTATTGCGTACGCCACATCACTTCCCGCTCTCTTCGTCCTGGCCCTTGCTATCGCTGGCTTCTTCTCTTGCCTGTGCCAGTACGTCCTGCTCAAGGCTGTTGAAAGAGAAGTGCCAGCCCTTGCCAACCAGGTCGGCGAATTCGCCGGCGAAGTTGTCACCTCGCTACAGGATGTCTCCAAGCAATGGGCTGATGATGCGAACGGTGTCGTGCTATCAACGCAGAACGAGATCAACCAGGACATGCTCGGTTATGTTACGAACGCTACCTCGGCCGTCAACGACACGCTGAACACATTCACTAACACCATGACGACTGGTCTGGAGACTGTATTCAACGGCACCATCCTGATCA